GTCCAATATGTCTGCTATATCGGTGTTCCTTGACCATTAGAATAAAAAGTATCAGACACCAGCATACGATAGCGAACATGATATGTAACCTTATCATCTCCACAATGACGTCATCTCATCAAAATGGCCTCGGTGAGGTCCGGGATCGTGGTTGGCGCCGCGAGCCCGTTCAATTTCACTCAGTCTAGCACCGCCATAATTGGAGCGTAGTGTGAGGATGACTGATGAACCACTGAACCAAGTCGGTCGATGTTTCTGACTAAACGCCCACCAGCGCTGCGGGAAGGCGCATAGTGAGGGCAATTTTTGTCACATTGTGGTCTGAGGGAGGCGGTATACGCGCTGCGTTAGTGCGGTGACGCGCCAAATGCAGGTGGAAATGTGAGAACGATGGTGCGCGCTGAAAGTCATTACACTTTTATTTCGTTGCTTATTTTCCGGTATGGTTTTCTGATAATATTGATCTTTTTATCTTTCAGCCTCATTAGTTTCAAAAGGAGAGTAGCTGCAATGTTCAGCATTGCGTAAATAGGCTAAACTAGTTCTTGAATTTATTTTGCATCATTATTCCTGGCAAAGACTTTGATAGGGACCGGATTAGGACAATAACTTTTTCATGCTTGTGTGCATCAAATATGTGAGCAAAAACATGAAAACGGGCGAAAGTCGGCATGGCGTCAACCTTCCCAACAACCCACCGCCACATCACCCCACGCGCGCCGTCCCATCAGCCTTCCGTTCCACTGCCCCACCGTCCCATCAACCCTCTGTCCCACTGCCCCACCGTCTCACCGCCCCACCGCTCACCATCCCTCCAATCTGCCTTCCGTTCCACCGCCCCTGCGTTCACTGGCGCCCCATGATAACAAACAGATGGGTGGCGTCAGGCGTCATCAGCCATGGCAGGACGGAAACTAGTGGGAGGGCTGGGGATGCGGCGGGTGGTGGAATGTATGGGGCGCGGATGGTGGGTGATGGACGGTGGACGGTGGACGGGCAATGGATAGGGTAAGTGGCTGGTGGACGGTTGACGGTTGACAGTTGACGGCGGACGGTAAACGGTGGATCGTAGCGGTGTAGGCGGCGGTGGTAGAAGGTAGACGGCGGACGGTAGATGCGACGGGTCATGGACGGTAGACGGTTGTCAGTGGGCGGTGGATGGAGGGCAGTAAATTATGGGCGCTGGTTGGTGGACATTTCAGTGGACAGCAGACAGGGGTGGTAGGTGGACGACGGTCAATGGATGGAGGATGGCAGGTGGTTGGCGGTGGGAAAGCAGCGACTGGCAGCAGCGAACGGTGGTCGGTGGTCGATGGGCGGTGGGTAGCGTTTGGTGGGCGGTGGGCGGTGGCGAAATGTCCCTGCCTGAGAGCGAGTGGGGCCAGTGGCCGGTGTTCTGGCCGGACGCCAGGGGACGCCGTACCGCCCCTTCTTGACCGAGTGGCTGGCCGCTGATGGCTCCGACTCTACTGGGCGCGTCCCGGTCCACCTGCCTGGTGGTGCCGGTTAACGTCCAAATGTGTTACTGGACAAAGGTCGCATAAACACGTATTAGCCGCCGGAGTAGAGTTTGCGAAGGTCAAGGTCATGTGATGAATAAAAACCTGATCATCTTAAACAATCACAAAACAACAATCCCGAAAGCGTACGAGATCATTTCAGTAATCTTACATCACTATGATGCTTTGCCATTCAAGCTCGCCCAGAATATGCCTTATATTGAATATTCTTACCCTCACAATCATACCGTATTTGGATGCTGGATTTCCCCACATCCCCACGAGACTATCACGTCAATGTTACGTGACTGTCTAGCCATAACATCCACAACCTTAAACACTCTACGGGGGTCATACAATCACTTTGCATGGCACGCCAACACCCCTATCTGGCTGTACACACATTGTGTTTGTCAGGGTCGTGTGCTAAAATTGCCGGCAGAGACACCAGTGTCGATAGTTTAACGATCGATGATCGAGACAGTCAGGGAGACATGAGAGATGAGACATGAGACTAGGTACAAGAGACGCGACATGACCCGGATGGTGGCAGATTTGGCGCAACTGCCTCGACCGTCTCTCCTATGTGATTAACGACCAAATTGATGGACGTCGAGTGACGTCACTAATCGCCTCATTGGCGCCGGCTGGGACAGACGTGTTGACGTCATAACCCGGCGACCTTTGTCACCTCGCCGTTTAACATTTCACACTGGCATATTTACGTCTGGACAACGAGTTGCGGGGAAAAGTGCTGATTGTGTTGCAGTTTTAGGAGCCGGTTATTAGGCTGGATTTTTGGGTTACTTTTTCGTTCCGATTCATGTGTTTCATAGTGTTTGGCTTTTGAATATTTTAGTTCTTTCAGATAAATATTACTTGCCTTACAACTTTTGTAAAAACGTTTCATTTTTTTATAAGCCGACGTTCAGAGTCCTAAAAATACATCAGCACTACAATCATTGTAAACAAACAAATGGAGCACCACTTGCAAGGCCATATATAGTACCACTTGGCTCTGTTCCAAGGCCATTTTTTAGTTTATCTGGTGGTTTTCTTGCTCTTGTACGTCGTTTTGTTGGATGTTTTGAATCCCTTAAGATTGACTTATATCATATTTAAGGAGCATGTTGACTGAAAACAATCTGAAGTATCCAGGAGGCTGACAGAGGTCCTGACTACTGAGCAATACCTTGACCTATCAATATCAAGTTGAACAAGTTATGAAATTTTGGTTGATAAACGCAAGTTGATCGGGCTCATATATCAGCAAGAAAAAGTAAAATTAAAAGAGCTTATTGTCCAAAAACAAGCTATAATATTGCAGACCTTGGACTTGGAGCAATACTGAAGAGCATGCTGAGCAGGATTATGCCAGAAAATGTTGACTGATGAGCGCATATTGATGTATTGGTATGAATATTGAATGATAACTTACAACAGCAAAATAAATTAGTGCTAACTATCAAGTTAAAATCTAGAATGAATGGACTTGGGCAGTTTTACTATGCTTAGATGATATGCAGATTGTAATGTGCATCAGGTACTCAGTGTCTGGCAAATGAAACATGCGATCATTCCATTGCTACTGGAGGAGAAAGCTTGGATCACTAAATCCACTTTATGTTGATTTTGATGTTAATCATCATCACTGTATTTCTTGAAAAAAGGATTGTAGTAAAATTGTCAATTTGTGACAATCCATGCAATGATGTGATCATATTATGTGTTCATAGTCATTCGTGATAGTCATTATTGGTCCAATATACAATGGCAAAGCTCTCAGTCTCAGCGTTTCTTCCTGTGGATGGCCAGCAGTGACTCAGAGCTTAGAAGTATTAGTTTTCTTCACAGGGCTGGGATAAAAAGTACTGAGGTTAATCTTCCACCAAGGAACGCTACTTCGACATGGTATGAGATGTAGGCACAAGTAGGTAGGTGCTCAGTTCCTATAGTCAGTAGTTGTGTATGTTTAGTCGGGTTAGCTTAGATCAGATTGTTAGTTGTTTAATTTGCCAAATGTCCATAAAAATGTGACCTGAGCAATGAGCATACCTGAACCTGACTAACCTGACAGCTGACCTAACCTCAATCATCACACATATTTGCAGCCTACCCAAGACCTGCATGGCAGTAGCACCCAGTAATAGGTAGGTACTCACCCTAACTCAATCTTACCTGCTAACCTTCAACTTGCCAAAAGTTAGCTCACATTGCCAAGCTGTGTCCAGGGAAACAGTCCACTGAGGAACTGGCTCATGCCTCATTGGGTGGCTGGTGTGAGTCTGTGCATTTAAAGTGTTTCTTCTCTGAAGCTGCTCTGCACTGCTGTATGTCATGTTAGATGCTCAGAAAATGTGGGAAATGATTACTAAGCTACTTTAGTGCTTTGTTAATGTTCGAGACATGAACAAGTACAGATCCTGCAGGGTACAGCTATGAGTTAGGTGCTAGGTGAGTATGTTATGTGAATGTGCTGTTCCCTGTTTGACCGTAAGTATACAAACAAGCACAGGGTCACAGTTATATTCAATCTCCACATAAACATACAACAAAAACAGCCATATAGCCTAACTCCGAACACACCACAGATAACTTAAGCCTTTGAAGGCACAAAAATGTTTTGATTAACGGGACAGGTTTACAATATATCCTCTGTCCTTGGGGGATCTTGCTGCCAAGTTGAGGTATGATGACTGAACTTCAGGATTGATCAACCTTTTCTTAGCCACTGCTCATATACGAGAAAGACCAAATGCTTGTTTGTTTTGATTTACAGGACATGTATACAATATATCCTCTGTCCTTGGGGGATCTTGCTGCCAAGTTGAGGTACGATGACTGAACTTCAGGATTGATCAACCTTTTCTTAGCCAATGCTTATAAACGAGAAAGACCAAATGCTTGTTTGTAAACTGCGTTGAAAATTTAATGATCCACCTTCAATTCTGACATGAAGGCACAAATGAAATAGTTCCCTCTCCTTTTGGAATACACTAAGCAAAATATTTAATAAATTTTAGTGGATGGACAAGAGCAATTAGCATAGCTTTCCCTCAAGTTAACTTCTGGCACTGTTGATGAAAATTACACTGACGCTTATTCGCTTCATATTTTGTAACAAACGCGCTAAAACTGCAATATAACAGCACTATATGCTTCTTGACAAAATGCAATAGTATTAAAAATTTAGCCCTGATGGCATTCATTCTTGGTGGAAACGTAATTACAAAATATTTTGTAGTAACTATTAAATTCCGGCCGAAAACAGTGCACGGTTTAAAAAAGAATCATTCCAATGACGGTCCATTCTTGCGGTCCTGAAATCGCCACTATTTCCGGCCTCTCCAACGCAACTCGTTGTCCAGACGTAAATATGCTTCACACTGTACGACGTCACTTTACCCATTGCCCTCTGTGTTATAACCTCACTATGTAGCTTCATTCAACCCCATGACGTCATTCTGACGTCATATGATGTCAACCTTGTCGTTTCGACAGCCGGATGCCAAGATGGTGATGGACGTCATCTCCCGAATGGAGGACACAGAGCCGTTCAGCGACGAACTGCTGGCGGCCATGCGTCGTCTCTGGATGGACACAGGAGTGCAGGAGTGCTTCGGCCGCTCCAATGAGTACCAGCTCAACGACTCAGCCAAATAGTGAGTCACCGGGGGAGGGCGGACCGGGGGGGGGCGGGGGGGGTGCTGACAGGTGGATGGTAGGCCGCCGATCTCCGTCGTATGTATTTGCCCTGACATTTGGTAGGTGACATGACTTGTCGAAAAGGATTGATTAGCATGAGTCTGCTTAAGCTTATCTGCATAGGTTAACTAGATGCCTTTATTCACTTTTATCCAACTTCAGTTTTCACGTCTACCTATCGGGCATGTATCTTTCTGTATTTACTATCACACCATATGGCTTGGTCATTAGCTAATATATCCATATATCATTCACATTTACCCTAAGCCGGTACCAGTCGGGGAAACTATGGTAAAATCTGCTATTTTTAGCAGTCTGCTATTTTTAGCAGAAATCTGCTAAAAATGGGTACGCATGTGACGTCATCGTACCCAAATATAGCAGATTTGGGTACTGCCCCATACAAAAGCATATCTGCACCCTAATTGAAGCAAATGCGCATCAAATGCCTGGCAGATTCATGATGAGAATAGTGCTGAGAATGTCCTCTGATATTTTTGTTCAGATCCGACTATTTTCAAATTCATTATTTGAAAATAGTCGGATCTGAACAAGAATATCAGAGGACATTCTCAGCACTATTCTAATCATGAATCTGCCAGGCATTTGATGCGCATTTGCTTCAATTAGGGTGCAGATCTGCTTTTGTGGGGGGCCGTACCCAAATCTGCTATATTTGGGTACGATGACGTCACATGCGTACCCATTTTTAGCAGATTTCTGCTAAAAATAGCAGACTGCTAAAAATAGCAGATTTTACCATAGTTTCCCCGACTGGTACGAGTGACACGTGGCTCTATGACGTCATTTCCCGTCCCCGGGGTCGCTCCCCTCTCTGGTGACCCGTCCGTATGCCCCGAGGCACGCCAGCAAGTCATTTGGCCTGGGCTAACCTATTAACCCGCGCCCTGCTGGGGGTCCTGGATTTCCACGCCCTGCTGGGGGGGGGGGGGGGTGTTTGAACACCCCCCCCTTGTAACTCGGCTCCTGGGCCACGTAGCGATACGCGGAAGGCGGCGTTCGAAAGAGCGTCAAAAATAATGACGAAATCACTTCGGTCAATTTTTTGGTCAGGTCAAAGGTCAGGTCACCAGAGGTCATTGAAGGCAAAATTTCGCCGATTTCCAGGTCGAATGTCGAAAATTTCCAAGAAGCCAACGCATAACTCGGGAACCAATAGAGCTACAGCGCCGCGGAAAAGCGCATTCGATAGCCCTAAGATGGGGTCTGCCGAGCAACGCGGTCTGATGGGGGGGGGGGCCATTTTGGCCCCCCCCCCTCAGATCTCGAGAACCACGCAACATAGCGACAAGCGGTAAACGGTGTTGGATAGCCCCAACGGGGAACTACCTTGTGACCCAATTTCATTGACCTCGGTCAAACCGATGACGTCACAGGTCAGGTCAAAGGTCGAATTTTCACCGTTTACAGGCATTTCAAGAAATGCGTTGTAAAATCGAGTAAAATGCATTTCATTGAAAATCATCGGTGGAGAAATGTTCTTCAAACACATATTTTGCTATTTGAGGTCACTGATACCAGGTCAGGTCACAGAGGTCAGGTCACTGGGGGGGTCACAATATGAAAGTGGCGTGTGATACATGTTTTATGGTCCATTTTACATGACAAATGCGATTATGTGGGTCAGACAGACTTTAGGGCCAGCTTAGGTCACGTTTTGGTCAAGGTCAGGTCAAGGTCAGGTCAAGGTCAGGTCAAATTAGGTCAAATTTCAAAGTTGATATTTTTGCATAAAATGGGTATCGATTCGATGCAGCTCGTCACGGGGAGTTCAATGGTGGTCTCCGTTTTGCGCTACGAGGTCTAGAATTGCTAAAAATTGAGTTCAAAAATTTGACGTCATCAATTTTTAACAGTTTTGTTGCTATAACTTCGCCAAAAAAAGAGGTATCGATCTAAAATTTGGTATGTATATCGAAGAGCGTAGGCACTATCACATATATTCCGGTTTTTTCGAAATTCGAAAAAAATTTGGAAATTTTTTGAGTTTTTCTAAAAAAATCAATTTTTTTGATTTTTGGGGGTCAAAATCCCAAAATTTCGAAAATCCGAGATAGCAGTTTTGTAGCGCCGTCTTTTCTCTACACAACCACATAAAGAACTTTAAAATTGCTTGTTAACTGTAGAATTGGTGAGCGTTTCAAGATGTCATGTTTTTTGCTCATTTTTGCTCGAACATGACCTCAGTTTGACCTCAATAACTCCTGACCTGAGGTGACCTGTGACTTGAAATTTTGTGTGAAGGTGTCAAATTGATGCCCGGTAAGGTACCCAAAATTTGGCGGCGCTGCGCGCCGCCGTTTTCTCGCTATTTAAGAAAAACCACAGGGGGGGGCCAAAATGCCCCCCCCCCCATCAGGGCGCGGGTTAACGCCCTTTCTGAGTAATTCTCTCAGATTTGACCTAACGTCAACGGTTTTGCCTGCAGGGGGCAAAAACTGCAAAAATAGCCGATTTTTTCGAAAACAGTTTTTCTGCAATAACTTTAGACCCAAGCCTTGTACGAGCTTACTTTTACCGGCATCGTGGTCCTCTCGTCAAGACGCATCGAATGAACTGTAACTTGACCTTGAAAGGTCAACTTGAAAATTTGACCTCAGGTCAAGGTCATGACCTGACCGGAAAGGGTCATGTTGCATATCAGTCGATCCGTATCGTCGAGCTGAACACATCTAAGGCGTTTTCATCGCTCTAGCATGCCTCTATCAAAAGTTATTTGCGAAAAACTGTTAGATACCATTCGTGACCTAAGATGACCTCAGGGCGTAAACAAGGGTCACGGACACCATTTTCAAGTTCAGTGTGTCTAAACCACTTGTAATTCGGTGTTTGGGAGTGTTTATAATGTCTTTCATCCAAAAGAGGCGCATTTCAATTTTCTCCCATTGACTTATAATGGGGAGGTCGCAAAATTGACCTGACCTTAGGTCATCGATATCAAAATTCTGAGATATACATTTCGCACATGCTATTGCTCTTAGCAATCGCTGAAAGTTTCAAAGTGATCGGTCACTCGGTGTACCTATGACAGACATTGAAAGTTTTTATGAGGTGAGGTCACTTTAAGTGACCTGGTGACCTGACCTTGAATGACCTTGGTCTGAAATTTTCACAACATGTGTAGAATTGATGTATGATAAGGTGTACCAAAAACGGCGGCGCTCCGCGCCGCCGTTTTTGAGATATTCGCGAAAAACCACAAGGGGGGGTGTTCAAACACCCCCCCCCCCAGCAGGGCGCGGGTTAACGCTTGTCGGCGTCTGCCGTCGACCGCGGAGGCAAAACACATGGCCTTGGTCTGGGAGTCTGGAGACCAGACTGTCTGGGAGCCCTCCAGCCTGGAGAGGGGATTGGTGGGGCAGAGAAACGTTTCCAAATTTGGAGTTCGAGAGTCATTGGTCATTTGGAAATTTATGTCCATGTAGAATGAGGGACACTGGGTGAACGCTGTCCGTTTTATTTAGCAACTTCCGTTGATAAAGCGATGACCTTGTCTTCAGCAATCGATCTTTCAGCAATAAATTGAAGGCTGCCCAAGTTATTGTGTTTTGAACATTGTTATGACAAGCTCTATCGAGCTTCCGTTCAGTTTCTGAATAGAAAGAGCACCATTTGATTATATGCCGTCTGTAAACCCTTCATTTGGATGATTCGAAATATTCATAGGCTGACGTGATCAGCCTCGTAGAATAACTTGTGCATTCGTAACGGCTTTATCGCCACGATTTTATGGCTCCTGAAATCACCTAATGTCAGAGCAGTAAGTCATAAATCTGACGTGGCGGGCGCCGTTTGGCCCTACAAATGGTAATCTATCAATAGGCTCATTTATCGTCATATATATTATTTTAGCTTGATTTTATCTCAATAAACATATTGTCTCTCACATTATATACAACTTTTGTATTATGTAAAAAACCCTTATCTCATGGAATAACGTTGCCGTTTTTTTGTGGCTTATCAACCCCAACGTGATCAGTAAGTGAATAAAAAAGCGTCACGAGCTTCTGCACGTGACTCCATGGATGGGATATTTACGACGTGAGCAGATGGCGATTACGCCGGAACAAAGGATAGATGACGTTCGTGTTCGCCCAGTGTCCAGACCTGGCTGTCGTCCACAGCGCATGTATAATGAATTGGCCCCTCGACGGCCGCCTATTCTGGGCCGCCGTTCAATGTTTGTGTTATCACGTCGAGAATTGAGTCGTATTTTTGCCGATCCGGCGTCAAGTTCGCAGACGGAAGACGTCATCTCAATGCAAAATACATAAACTGCGAGCGGAGCGGCTAGGGTGACTGTGCCTTCTGGAGCCCAGATGGACTTCTAGCTTTTTTCTCTGCTTCCCTCTTCTCTCGTATCCTTCTCTCCCTCACCATATCGCCCTCTTTCTCTAGAAAGTATGTAATATCCGTACTCTGTCCTTTTTTTGACACTTGACACGTTTATTATTCGCACGCTCCTTTCGCCATTAATGTAAATTGGTCCCTCATGTCGTGTTCTCTATTGAGGTCAGTGACCGCATGACCTTGACCTTGACCCGTCTCGCGTGCCCACAGCTTCCTCGATGACCTGGAGAGGCTGGGCGCCAAGGATTACCAGCCGACTGAACAGGACATTCTGCGAACCCGAGTGAAAACCACCGGAATCGTCGAGGTGCACTTCTCCTTCAAGAACCTCAACTTCAAGTAAGTGTCGCTTACGCTTTGTGTGTGCTAGTCCGACCAACTCACTGATGAAAGCGCTATGGTATTTCAGTTATATTTCTTGCATTTCCGCATTGGGAATGAAATTAGGTAATCCCTAATCATCATCGTAGTTACACCTCCGAGAGTGGTGTCCCTGTGTAACAGCCCCGAGCCATACCGCCTACCGCTGTGATGATGTGTGTTAAGATCTCGGGCCGGGTCCCGCTGTGTCGATGTCTGTAGAAGTCTCGGGGCGAAATCACGGCTGTGTCGCCGGCTCGGACCACCCCAGGGCGGTGTCGGGCCCGGCGGCCGCCACCCCAAACGTAAACCGTTTACTCGGCCCGGTAAATCGTCGGCCGGCTGGGCCTGGAGGCGCCGGCCGGTCGCCGCCGCCGCCCCCGGGGCAGGCGGGTCGCCGCCGCCGGCTCAGCGACCCGACCAAGGTCACTGCGCAGTAGCGCGACGGCAGGGGGCCATCAGCGGCCGGTCCCCGTGGGTTAGGGCAGCTAATGAGCACCGTATGTCATTGGCGGCGGCGACGGACTCAGTCGATCGGTATCCGTCTTTCCAGAACGGTGGATGATGGGAAGGATGGGTTATTGGTCCGGTTATCCGATGCACCCTGAGCACATTCACGATAGATAATGTTGGTCCTATATGGACGGTCGTCAATGCTTAGCCCAAAAGGAAATTAGGTAAAAAGTAAATTATGCTCCACGGGGTTGGATTATGAGCTTCTTCATCATTGTGTTAGGAAATGAGCCGTTTATCTTCAGGTCCCAGACCACAATGCATTTAGGTAGTTAATTACTTTGTCGGACACTAGGTGACTCTTATCGCCCATGCCATGCTCGTAACAATGTTGACTTTGCGAGACGCAGAAGCAAGGAATCAAGAATGTGTTTGATGATCATTGGTCTGGGTATCTGGACGTACTGTTCTGCACAAGCTGTTCGGTCATATTTAGATAAAAAGAGCTACAATTGCTCCGGCATAAATCAGGAAATGTCCTTGCCGGATGCCATGGCAACCTCGCTATTTTAGCAGCAGCACATTTAGCAGTCATTTTTTATCATACCAGTCCCATTCAATTGAATCAATCGCTCGCTGCCTGCGGATATAGACCGCACGATGAATCCCTGAAGGCATTCACGCTGTCAACGCTGATCGTTACGCTTATCACGCGGAAGCGCAGCCGCCATATTGAAAAAGTCTGCCGCGCTGCATCGCCAGAGAGCGACGCGCTGCCGCCATCAGCGGCGCGGCGTCTTGCCGTCAGCGGCGCGGCGTCCTGCCGTCAGCGGAATTGATGACGCCTCTCGGGGGAGGACCACCGGTTGTCAGGAACATCGCCGCTCAATTCGTGGCGATGGACGCGCGTCGAGCGACCGCCGCTGCCTGCCTGCCTCCGCGGACGGTCGGTCTGTCGGGGCTATCCGGGACGGGAGAGGACGATCGATACTGATCAGGACGGCCAGCTCCGCCGCGCCGCCGGCTGAGACGGCCGACTTTGACCGACAACGGCCGGCGGAGCGTCTAGAACAGGATGTGAACGGAGGGGAACCGGACCCTGCGTGTTTCACGTGTCCGGGACGCCTTAGTCGGGATTGATTTTCCGCCGACCGTGAGGAAAAGTTCACTGGGGTCGAGTTGGAATTCGACTGCTGCATTATCAAGATGGCGAAGCCGTTCTAGATGACCATGGACCAATAGAAGGAAAAAGACAGTTATTTTCTTCGTAGTCCATTTGTTCTATTTGTCTTAATCGCTACTCATTCATCAAATCTTTCCCTAAATTTGAGAAACACAAACTTGCAATGCCTTCCCCTGATTTTTCCTCTCATCCAGTTTCATCTCGCTAACTTCATGTGTCCTTATCTGTGTCTATACTCTGTTCCGTTTCAAGTTTGCAGCCGAAGTGCCATGCTGAAAGCAGTGCGTGATTTCTGTATATACAGCTCTTACATTTTGAGGTGAAAATTCTTGAGCGGAGGAGCGATCAGCCGAAGAAACTCCGACTGCAAGCTTGATATGGAACAGACTATAACTGTCTACCGTAACAGTCGTAACAGTCCAATGGGCTTTGCTTTTTGTCGACCGGTTTGACCATTAGGTGGGGCCTCTAACATTTCACAAAAAGAAGTTGAACTGTCATCCTTTTTCTTTATATACGTTTCAGTCATTCGTGTTACCTCTTTCAATTCCATCAATTGAATTGGTAACACGAATACGTTTCAGTTATTCGTGTTACCTCTTTCAATTCCATCAATCTCCTGAACTCATATCGCACTTTGTCCCCGCTCTCCTCCCTCCGCCCATTAGTTGACCTCTGACCTAAGATAACCTCGTCTTTGTTTCTCGCTTCCAGACTGTTTGATGTGGGCGGCCAGCGGTCGGAGCGAAAAAAGTGGATCCACTGTTTCGAGGATGTGACCGCCATTATTTTCTGCGTAGCCATGTCCGAGTATGATCAGGTGCTGCATGAGGATGAAACCACGGTGAGTTGACGGAGCTGCGAGTGTTTAGGCGTTTCGTGAATTGACGCGTGTCAGTGTCATGAGTTGTGTTTGTTTAGGAGTCGTTAGCAAGACACCGATCCACTCTAATGGCCTTGGGTTGGCACATGCTCAGTCTTATCGACTAAGCGGGCATCAGGTGCTATCTTGTAGGAATTCCACGTAGTACAGCGAAACAATGAAATCAATTTCAAGTGGGTCCCAAATAGCGTCTAAAGGTACCAAATGGCCTCTTCTTTGTAATAACTGAGTCTAGCGAACGAACGGAAGTTAGCCTTCAAACAAAGACATATGTATCATGTGGGCATTTTATGAGTTTCGAGGTGTCCTAGATTTGTAATGTTCCTCCGTAAATGAGGAAGTCGTCTTCTTTACGATAAGCGGATATGACGCTCATTTACCCTGTTTGTAAACAGTGGGCCCTAAAGTAATCTATGTAGCGCCATCAAAGGTTTATTGCCTTATCATTTTCCACGCGGGTCTCAAGCTCTGTGATTCTACATGCACTGTGCTTCCAAACAAGCCTGCAGTGACTGCGAATAATTAATCTGCTCTCCTCCTAGTACACTCCCCCTCCCTCTCTCCACCTCCACGACTTGCAAATAACAAGCTGATCAATACGACCCCGCCTCTCTCAGAATCGAATGCAGGAGAGCTTGAAGCTGTTCGACTCGATCTGCAACAACAAATGGTTCACCGATACTTCCATCATTCTCTTCCTCAACAAGAAGGATCTGTTCGAGGACAAGATCAAGAAGTCTCCGCTGACCATCTGTTTCCCCGAATACCCAGGTAAGTGAGCAGAGCTGCTGTCGAGATGGCGCCACCGGCGGCGGTCACCGACGGAACGCCGACGCCATTTTGTTTTCTCGCCGTAAGCACAGGGAGGTGGCCGTTGCGAGTGAGCTGCCAAAGCCCCGAGCTTTAGCCGGTCGGTCGCTAGGGCTTTCTGGTGACGGCGGCGGCCGCATAACGCGCTTTGATGACGTTGATCATCCATTTGGTGGTTTCTATGTGTGTTGATAGAGATCATGTGGGTCCCAGGAGACCAGCGCCTATGATAGCATCAATGTCGCTGGCGCCTGTGTTGTCATTATTCGTATGCCGAGCACCACTCAGGTCTTTTGATGGCTGTGGGACCCTGACGTGGGCCGCGTCACGAGGCATTGCACGTCTACAGGGACAAATATTTTCAACCGAAACGGACATTGGCGGACGAGTAACCTTTGCTCGTTCCACTTAGATCGTATTCGGCGACAATGAGCTGCTGATTTGGTGCGCTCAACTGACGGCCTGTCTGACCAATCAGCGGCCGAGTCTGTGACCGTTGCCATGGCGATGGGTGCTGTTGTTAGGCGGTCTCGCGGCCGCCCTGATTCCCGTCTGGTGCGACTGCCAGTGCCGACGCCGCGTCCATATGACCACCGAGTTATTACCTCAACCCACGTCGCCGGCCCGCCATCGGTCATTTGCACCGGCCCGCTCTGGCCTTATATGACCAAAATCAGAATCACCCTCGGACATTGACCTCGGGTGTAAGAGCGTACCGGTCTAAAAAATGTACCTATTTTATTATATGCTGTTGGATTTGTGATGGGTGGTAACCAGCAATGGACAGATGTTCAGCAATTGGATGATTACAGAACATCGCTCAATTGCTCGCGATATTTACCTAACAACGTCCTCATAAAACATGCCATATCAACATTGATCGCATTTTACTGGCTCATAAAATAATAGCGCTTGTAGTGTAATTGTAAGTAATACCGGAAAATAATAGCGCTAGAAACTATAGGTATTCAGGATTACGATCTTTATTGACATGCATCATACTATATAGCTCTCGTAAGTAATTAAAGGTAGTGTGCCAGCTTTCTTGGACCGTATGGAGTTAATGGCCCAGATAAGGAGAACCGGATTTTTAGAACTTATCCATGCCTTCAAAACTCATGGAAACGTCTTAAATTCTTCAAATTTTGAGTACCCCAGTGCGAAATTCGCCCCGACGGGTTGTCGGTCGTACCCCAACCACATTTCACACCACTATGAACAATAAATGCACACACTGAAATCGCTATTACCGATATGCTCATCCAATCAAGTTTCGATAAACCCGTTCATCATCATCTCCTGCGGTTTCGAACACGCCTGTTAGGTGGCTTCTGATGCTCGTCGAGGTCGGAATTTCCAAATACGCGTGGTGCGTCGGGCCGCGCGCTCTGACTTCGGCCAAGAAAAATGCGTCAGCTGATCATTGTCATTTCTGCCACTTGCGTGTGGTGAAATGGGGTCATAACTTATAAGACGGCTTTTTCATATCAATTATTTTACATAAAATCATATTTCAAACCATAAATAATGTTCGACAGCCAAATAAAAGAAACAATACCAATACGGGCTTACAGTTTAAGGCTCGACATTGTGTTGTCTACGATTAGACAGCTGATAACTCATTCCCGTACGTCGTATGGTCGTAACACTATAATGACCTTTGCTTGTTGTCACAAGTGCGCCGCATTCGCGATTGTTGCCCGACGCCTGTTTGCAGGTGAGCCCACTACAGTTGTTATACATATCTAAAAACCGAAAAACTTTTAGTCGAAAAAGGCACTATTCCAGGCCCATTTTTGATTTTTTTTGCGATATTAGGTAAAAACAGAAGCTTCTTATCCTAGGAAAAATAAAATGGGAAATCTTTCAAAGGTGGCACACTACCTTTAATGCGGGTGCATATTCGTTGGACGTTGATGTCGATCACCTAATGATATCGCAAGCTGTTAAGCACCTGTACATAAGACGATACTCATTAACGGGTGTACCTAATCTGTCAGCATATTTATGCTCATAGGTCGATTGTAGTACGGAATTGTCTAGAAGGCTGGGCTGTCTCTCCTTTAGAATGATCAAAGTAATTCGGTGCAAATTATGCGAGTGTGTTTGTTGTAGACATAAAGGGTATCGTGTAAAAAGATAAAAATGGACTGGAAACGGGATAGCATTGAAGCGAATAGAGGAATTTCCATGCCGCTAAACGATAATCCAACCATACGTACTGCACATTCCAAGGTGATGCAGTCTGTCGCTAGATGGCAGTGGGAAAAGCGCCTGCAGTGATGCTGTGCCGCACAACTTTGTGTTTACCGATCCTCCCGCTAGATGGCAGGGTTTGAGCGCCTGAAGGTATGCTGTACCGCAAGGCTCAAATATCAGAACGCCGAACGGGATGCTACTGCGTCAGGCTCGGGGTAGCGTCTGCGATTGTGTACAGAAGCGATTGGGGGGGGGGGGGGGGAGAGTGGGGAGCAAGCTCTTGGCCTGTTAAGACCATTACAGAGCTATGGGATGTAAAGATAGAGCGTAGACATTGGGCTGTGCGGGACACTGACAGTGCAAGTAGCGGAGGAGAAACCGTCCCGTTGGGACCGGATTGCCTCGTTGGGACAGTCTTTCGTTGGGACGGATTGCCTCATTGGGAATCGGTCCAGCCATACAAACAGTCACCCCGGAGAGGAATTACAGGTTCCGGTGGGAACCCGACCCCCGCCGGTTGTCAGGTGGGGTGACCGTCAGCCCGGAAAGGGAGCGTGAGGGGGACACGGATGGTTTAGTCCTGAGGATGACGAGGATGGGTGATGGTTACGATTAGTTTCATTGCTGCATTTTACTTGTCTGAGCGCACTATAGGGATTTTAGAGCATGCTCATTTCTCACTTAGTCACTCGCATCTGTATCTACCTTCCGTCCTCACAGCTTTGATGCGTTCAGCCCAGCACACACTGCTGACTGCACTTCATTTCAGTTCCCTCTCAGCCACCTCTAACACACCAATCTCCCATCGACAGGCGCCCAGGACTACGGCGAGGCGGCCGCTTACATCCAGGCCCAGTTCGAGGCCAAGAACAAGTCGACCAACAAGGAGATCTACTGTCACATGACGTGTGCCACCGACACGACCAACATCCAGTTCGTGTTCGACGCAGTCACCGACGTCATCATAGCCAACAACCTGCGAGGCTGTGGTCTCTACTAGGCGGCCGGCGCGCGGCCACGCCCGCCTCAGGGCCTCCAGATGCCCGCCGCCAGCCCCCGGCGGCCGGGCCGGCGAACCACAGCCGGCCGGCCGCCAGAGGCGCCGCGATCGTGCGGGTAAAGCGTCCCGAACTCAGGACTTCCCCTGGATGAGAAGCCCGCTCGGGATGGTCTAGTCATCAACCGTGCTGAGATATGGATCTATTTATTTCTTTGTGAGAGGCGCGAGTGCACATTGGCTGGCTCAAGTGTGGCGATATAGGGTCGCAGTGCGCGCAGTGCGGCGCGACAACTATTGAAACTTTTATCTTAACTGCTTAACGATAGGTGCCAGCACTGTAGCGTCCGCGGTGGCCGCGCGGCCCTGGTTCGCGATCTCCTAACCCGGCCAGGGCCACCTTGTTTTGTCGACCTACGACGTGACGTGGTTTTGTAACATAGTGCGCGCGAGCTGGCGCGGCCACTGTCCGTCTGTCCGCGGGCGCGGCCGGCGCGCGCGCGCGCGCGCTGGGTGTTAGCGCGCCGCGCCGCGGCCGGTGAGTGGCCTCGTCACGTGGCCGGCCGGGCGGGGCTGACCGCAGGGCGATCAGTGCGTCCCCGGCGGCCGCTCGGCGCGACCGATGTCCACGCGCCGGGCGGGCGCCGCGGGCGCCGGCGCGGGTCGCCCTTCTGTGACGATGTGTTGGGACCACTACGACCGGCAATGCGGCGAGATCGGTCCGCCGACCGGACCTGTCTGTCTGTCTGTCTGTCCGCCTGTCTGTCCGCCGTGCGGGGGCGGGTCTCTACCGGCCTACCCTCCGTGCCGGGCTGTCCGCTGTCGCGCCTCTGTTCCGCGTCGCTGGCTACCGATCCTCCTCTCAGCTTCTTTCCAGATCGCTCTCTTCTCTTTTACACTGCCGACTGAGGGGGGCCGGTGCCGATTTACGTGTAGTGGGGGTGGTGTGACTTGTCTTGTTTGTCAGTTGTCAATTGGACCGACGTACCGAATCGGTCCAAGATTCCGAACACGCCAGTTAGGAACGCTTGGTGAGCGAGTGAGCGAGAGCGAGCGAGTGAGCGTGCTATGTTGGTGGGGCGACTAGATGCCCGCAGGATATGTTGCCAGTGCTGCGCCGCACTGGAGGGGGTGAAGTAGTTTGTTACATGGCGAGCAGAGCGCGATTAGCTACCAGTTATTCTCGGCGAGAGGACGCCCGCGCAGCCGCTCGCGCACACCGCGGGGCGAGTCGGCCGTCTGTTTCTGTCGGCGCGACCGCGCACAAATCGCCGCTGTCGCGCACCTTCCGCCGCACAAACGCCGCACAGCGCGCCGCGCCTGCGTCACAAACGCCGCCGCCGCTGCGGTGGCGCGGCCAATTCGGCGCACACGGCACGCACACATCGCGTTCGTCTGAAGCGAGGCAAAAGTGTCGCTCTACCGCAATCGCGTCGCCTGGAAGGCTTTGTGTTCCGAGGCGGTCCGCCCCCTGTCCGCGTCTTTTTTCGTTTTCGTATTTTTGCGTATGAGTCATTAATAAACGCCGTTTGATTGTTAAATGATGTGTGGTGTTGTGGCACAAATGGGGCGGATGCGGAGTGCTGAGCTATCGAAGTAAGGAGATCTTGCTGTGCATATTTCGGCCGTAAGGTGACAGGTGTCAGAAACTCTTAATGTGGCTGACTTTGTCCACCGGAAAACTTTTTCTTTTCGCTCTGTCATCTGCAGTCTAGTTATAGTTTCTTACATGACTTCTTGTCGCATTATGTAATAAACGATATTGATTGACAGGTATTCCATAAAGACTTACGCAGCCATAACTATTGATAATCGCATAAATCAGTCATGCTATGTGAGAGTAAGTGCGGTTTTTATAGCAGTGTCATCGCTAGTCATTTTGTGTGGCTTAGGTACGGCAAGTACAAATGCCAAGTTATGGCCATACTCGCCTGTTACGAAAGACGCCAGCAAGCAAGCACGGGCTTGTTACTGTAAAGCAGTAAAGCATTTCATTTCGGCTCGAAGTATACATATATCTATACTCGGAGTGCTATTGACTGCCCGCAGGCTCTATAGCACCTGCCTCAGGTCACAGCGAATGCAGAATGCCTATGGGATAAGACATTACTGCCCGACGTGAATTAGGTGTAATTTGCTTCTTCGATTAAAAAACTGGCAAGGATGGTTTACATTTCGGATTATTTTCTTACTGTTAAACGTCCACGTTCCAGCGTACATTCTCTACCCACGCACTACCCACGTCTTATGCTACATATAGGTATTCTTGATGCATATGCGAGTGTATCAGTGTAAATCATATAATTTCGATGAGTTGAACGGTTTTCGTATGACATCCGGCCCCGTATTTGCTACACTAAGCCCCAGTAATCTCTTGAGGCCAAGCCAGTGTTCTATCGCCCCAACCGCTGCCCACCCTCCGTTCAAATATCACAACGTGTCGTGCTGATTTGATAACGGACCCTGTACAGCCGCACCTCTGAGCTCTCCCCACCCGTAATCTCTGCATCGGGCTGCGGAGTCGGAGTCGGAGTCGGAGTCGGAGTCACCCTAAAATCCATCGACTCCGCAGCCCTGCTCTCTGCATCGGGCTGCACGACAGCGCTCTTTCGACCGCATAAGAACGGTACGGTAAGAACGGTCTTGCCGTCGTCATTTGTTTGGCATGTCCCGCCCAGAAGGGCTTGTCTTGACACCAGCCACATCGGCAAGCAACGAATGGAAAGTGTACCTAATGCCTATGTTGGTCAAGCTAAACGGCACAAACCAGAATGGTACGACGTGGAACAGAACAGCACTGGCTGTACGATTTGGAAAGGTGAACGATACGAAATATAAATACTTTACATTACGACCGATGTTTTTAATAACCAATGCTATCGATTGGTATGCATGAATATTGAACATACAGCGCGGAACGAAACGGTCCGTGGTTCAACCGCTCGTCACCACTTACGACTCTTCAGACTTCATGTACGAAACAGTAAGGTACGACTCAGTGTACGGCGTGTTTCGGCAATACGGTATGGAACGGCACGGTACGCTACGTTAACAGTGACACGGTACGTGTGGCTCAGGGCTGCTCTCTCTGGTAAATTAGTCAGGCTCCAGAGGACGATGCGTTGCCCGTACAGACATTCAGCACGGCTAGTATATACGGACCACAAACGGAGCAAGAAGCACAACCCCGAGTCTAGTGATAGGCCATAGTGCTGGAATATGACCCAATACGGTGGTGTTGGTCCCATACGTTACGGCCTGAGCGGCTCAGTAAATTTCGACAAGACATAGGACGGTCGCACAATACAGTCCACTCGCACGACCCAGTACGACCAAGCACAACCCCCTATAGGGTTCAGTACGACACAGCACGCCCAATACATTATACAGCCCAGCATACGGTCCAGTTTAACCCAGTATATGTCATACGGCCCAATGCGAGGCAGCACACCCAGAACGGTGTAATGCCCACACGGCTCGGGCGGCTCAGAATGTTCCGGCTTAGCGTGACGCACCCACTGATAGGGCGCATTCCACCGGCACCCGGCCGACCGCGCCGGCCCGGCCGCCCGTAGCCCGCGGCCCAACGTCCGGGCCAGCCGACTGCAGCGGGCCGTTGAAACATTCCGACATGTCCATCTTCTAAGTTTGCGTTTAGTGTGGTTTCGCGGGTGGGGTCACGCGGTTGGAGGGGAGGGCGAACATTATTGCTCCGAGAAGACCACTGCTGTGCGAACTGCGGATTGCGGAATGACATTCAGTAGGCAAACACAAACAAGCATAGCGGTCAAATGAACCCGTTATATATAAATACAGGTATTTCGTAGTCGTACAGTAGGCATACCTTATTCTAGAAATACAAGTCACATTCTGTGGCACAAGAAAAATTACCGGCGAGCAGTGAGCACTTAGGCCTACATACTTACATACGTCTTACATTACACACTGCACAGCTCGGATTACCAGAAAAACGGTCCTTACCTAACCTTGGGGCTGCAAAAATATTTTATTATGAAAACTGAATGACATTTTAATTTGTTTACACGTTATGAACTTGCTACTTCTCCCTTACAAAAAACTCACGTAACATCCAGAGCTATGAGATACAAGTCGATCGCTAGTAATAATTTAGCTGTCACGTGTTTTTGTTTCATCGGGGCATTTTTTGAAATGCTTTTCTTGTCATGCTACACACTAAAATTATAATTCTATTTTTTAATTAACTCTGTGTATTTCTTAGCTTTGACAATCAACTGTTCTTTTGATATCTTCTCATTGTTTCAAAAATAACCTGTTTCGTCTGATCGATAGAAATATTGTGCACCTATCGATAACGCTTACATCGATAGAAAAATATCAGCTGTTAGCGGGCCATTTAAATTTGAACACAAACGAGACGACCGATCGGAAGCGGGCTTGCTGATGTTGTGTCCCTCGTTTACTGTTTTCTATGCGATAAAGAACTAAAGATATTTGTCAAGAATGGACCCCTTTACGGCGGTAAGTGTGTTTCATTGCCTTATGTATGAATGTGTCATTTGTTCTATCAGTATTTTCGTTTCTTGCGATATGCGTCACGATCGTCGCACGCCCTTATCCATTTGCAATAATCGCTTTTATCAGTTTTTTCTTTCTGTATGACACCTTTATTACATATTTAGGGATAATTTGTGTTACATATAATGTATGCATTTGTACATTATTTTCTAAGACTAATTTATGCTCCAAATGTGGAACTCAGGCACTGACTTGGACAGATGGATCCAGACATCTGGATGCTTTTTTGGTGCTGCCTTTGCTGCCGTATCAATCATTATCATGATCTAGTACCCACATCACATCAGTGATTTTTAAGGCCTTCATATATTGGTCCTTTATGTGGCCTATCGGTCCTTAATGCGGTACTACCCTTAATGCCTGTCTCCTAGCGGCTGTGGGTTTGCGGTCCGAGAGTTCCACGTTGTTTGAGATATTTGGTAATATATTGAGCCAGCTGGCAACTGGCAAGAGAGGGTCATGCTACCATCTACCTGTGGTATGCTAAACTTTCAATTATAATTATGAGTGGTCCACACTCTCAGCCACTCTGCCGTCCAAAGGCAAAAACGCATATGTCGGGCCATGACCTGACCCGACATATGCGTTTTTGCCTTTGGACGGCAGCACTCGTCTCATTCATCCATTTCAGTTTGTTTCAAGGTTTCTAAAAACTAATAATAAAAACATTTTCTCTAGTCTAAATGTACTCCAACTTGCCAAATAACATGGAAACAAATATAAACATGCTGAAACAAATGATTTTTTAATACAATGACAAATTTATTATTTATCAGAATTTAAATGTAACATACACACTGATCATAATAACACCAAAAATTCACCAAAATTTCATGAGATGACGAGCCTTGGTAGTGGGAGCCCAGCTTTGAGTTGCACTGGCGCTCATTATTTGAGACTCCTGATGGGGGTGGTCCTCGGTTGGTGGGAGCCAAGATTCTTACAGATAGGTGGGAGCAGCCACAGCCAGTTGTAGTCAGCTGAATGGGATAGGGCATGTCCAGCTTTGATGGCACGTTAAACCTTGGTATCTAGATTCTCCCGTTACCTGGAGCAGCCGCATGACCGGAAGGTAGGGATCAGGGGTCTACTTAACAAGCTCTGCTCAGCTGGGCTCCTGCTCAAAATCAATGTCAATCTGCCCACTCAAACATTCAAGCTAAATTTGAAATGAGTGTCAGCCAGCATACTAGCATTCAGTTGATTCCTAACCCACCACTCCTACCCCCCTCAGAGGATGTTGGAGCGTGCCCGCGACCGACAGCGGCGGGTGGACGGACGCACTGGAGCCACCCCGGCCGCTGCCGCCGCTCGCAGTCCCCTGAGGGCGGGGGCAGGTACCAATGCCGGACACAGCGAACCACAACTGACTGGTGAGTGGTGCATTGGTGTGGGATGTGACTCAGAATGTCATTGCTGTGTGAATGAAACTGAGAGTAAGGTTGATGTTACATGAATTTTGGCGAGAAATAATTGGGGACTAAGTAATCATTTGTTTCACAATCTGCTTGGCTTGAAATGCTTTTCTTATAGTAGTGGGGTGGGGTTATAAAGCTACTCTCAATGTAAAAAGACTAAGCAAGAATCTGTGGTCATTATAAACTGTGCTTTTCACAGAGAAGTCGGTCAGCCCGCGGCGGCCGGTCGCCAAGCCGGCGGAGGACAAGGAGAACCACCCGAACGTTCTGCACGAGAGCACCCGCAGCCGGCTGAAGCAGCTCGGCTCGCTGTACTCCGCTGACGGGGAGACAGGTCAGTCGGCCGGGAGCTGTGGTCTGCCATGTTGTGCTGATTTTCTGTTGATAGGAGCAGCTGCAATGAGCTGTGGAAGTTGGCTACAGCAATACATTTTTATCATATTTGAAATGTAGTGAAATTCAAATAACTTGAGTGGCTGCAGAAGACACAGTTCCGTTTTGCTGTGAGTAGCGAGGCCTGACCGGTGTGAATGCATTCCGTCTCCGTCCGTTTCAGACCTGGATGCCTACGAGGTGGAGGTGACGCCGCGTCACTCGCGGCCGGTGCCGGAGCCGGAGCCGCAGCCCTCCTCCCGCCCCGCAGCGTCCAGCTCCTCGTCCTCCACCGGCCTGCGCAGCCGACTGGCCGGGCTGGCCTCCCAGTACCAGGAGTTGGACGCAGAGGTACCCGCCCCCGCTCCCGCCACCTCCCCGGCGCGGCAGTCCCGCCCGGCGGCCCGTGAGCCCGCGTCCCGTCCCTCCGAGCGGTCCCGATCCCCGGTGAAAGCTCCCACCTCCGGCTCTGTGTCCCCTACCCGCCCCGTCTCTCGCTGGGAGGTTCGCTCCCCGTCTCCGCTGCGACGTCAGATCACCGCCGGCCAGCGACCTCCACCTAACGACGCGCCGCCGTCCGCCTGTCTGCCTCGGCTCGACTCGGGCTGCCACGTAGCCACGGTGCCCGCTGGAGGCCGTGTGGAGGCGGCCGCGCCCACCGTGTCGCACCAGTTCCGACCGACTGGGCCGGAGCGGACCACCGTCACCACCGAGGTCAAGGTTAGCGTTGGAGGCGACCGACACCGCGCCAGCATGCACCTGAGCCCCGGCAGCGGTCCGCTGCGCGCCGAGGCCGCGCCTGAGCCTCCGCCAGAGGTGACGCATGTGTCGCGCGCCGAGTACCGGCCCAAGGGGGCGGCGCGCCGGCCGCTGCCGCAGCACCCCGACCCGCCGGCGGCCGAGACCGCGCTGTCGCTGGACGAAGAGACGGTCCGGTCGCTGGTGAGTAGCGCATGCTTAGCGGGACGGACGCACTCCTGAGTCCTGCTCCGGGAGTCCTGATTCCGAGACCGTACTCCAGTGCCAAGTTTCTGCTCTGGATTTATGAGCCTTGGCTCACGGTGCTCCTGAACCGAGGTCCTGTTCTTCCGTAACAGGTCTGCAAGTCCGAGCTGTGGACACTTCTAGTCCTGGATTTCTGCTGCTGACATGTTGATTCCAAGTTCTTCAGCCCGGCCTCCGAAATCCTGCTCCGTTGCAATGCAAGACCGACCGATGTCTAGACCGAAGTCATCGCCTGGCAAGCTCCGAAAGTGTTGAAATTGGATCCAGCTCCCTGGTAGCTCTCCTTCGCCGAAAAGCACCCAGCATTTCCACGACCTTCTCCGATCTAGGATCATCAAGACAGAGCCTTACTCCTACGCTGCGTCTACCTTGCTGCCATCTCCACGTGCCTTGCTCTTCGCAGACGTGTGCTTTTAATCTCATATGGTTTTAGCCTGCTTACAGTTGCAGCTGGTAGATACTTAGTCCGCACTGTACTGCACTTCTTGAACCTTATGCCCCAAAAGCCAACGTTGGGTGACCTTTAACTTGACGGACGCAACCATTTCAACCTTGTGTTGCTGCTGACTGTTGCTTTTCATGTTTACTGTGTTGTGTTCTAATGGTCAAGGACATTTGCGGGGACTATCGCCTTTACGGTGCAAAATACATAGCTCACTTTGTTAACCTTACTGGTGGTCTTACAACTAACTATTGCTTGGGAAGCTAACTTACTGAAGGTACGTCTCAGGTCAGGACAATTGTTTTGCTACGGGTAAGTTTTCGTTAGTACATCGAGGCTCTCACTCATCTGCCTAAGTTTGAACCCAGAACTTAGTTATTTTGTTGGCCAAATAATTTTGCATCGAATGTTTTTTAAGTGTTTAATTTTGATTCGGCATACAGTCAGCCTCCTTAGCCTTCCCCGCCCCCCTGGTTTGATCATTCTCCCTTGCACCGCATGTGTATCACAAATATTGTGTGCAGATTTTAAACTGCGATGCTTCAGAAATCAGAATGTTATTGGCACGTTGCACGCTTGGTTTTGTTGATGAATGTCATTCGTTCCTAAGCGGGAAAGAAGTTCGTTGATACGTCCTGATTTATTTTCATTTACGTGTCTAATGTCTATCAACCGACGTCTTGTCATTCTTTTGTTCGTCGCTACAGAAATGACAGCGAGCCCTTTGTTCATTCCTTCCATCAAGGTCACCATTTATTGTATTTAAATAACTGACAGCTAAAACATCGATGTTTTTCTTCGTTCTCCGCCCATTCTCGCTCACATCTTATCATTCATCCTTATCTCTGCTCCTCCCCACCGTCTTATCTGTCCAAACCCAACCTCTGACCCCTCCGTCCCTCCCGTCCCTCCTCCCCAGGAGATGCAGGGGTTCACGCCGACCGGCTCCCGCACTCGTCTGGTGTACGACTTCTCCGAGGGCGGCCGCTCGCCGTCACCGCCGCGCGTGGTCGCTGCCGTGGCCAAGCCGCCGTCTCCGGAGAAGCCGGCCTCCCCGCCGTACCGCTCGGCGAGTCCGGTCCGCTACAGCCCGCCGCCCCGGCCGCAGGTTCGTGACGAATGGGGAGATGGATCACTTGAGAACCCCCGGTATTGAAGGGGTTGGAGGTTTCAAAGCGCCAGTGTTTTTGCCTCAAACGCATAACTATATTGTAGTTCATCTGGACATCTTGACCTGATTTTGATACTGTTGTACTCGTTTCTGAGCGTGTGTCTGAAGTGCTGACTGTTTGAGTTTTCTTGGAATTTTTGGCATGTGTCTGTAAACGACACTGTGTCTGCGGTCTCATTTCTGAGAAAACAGCAATTAAGTGTCGATGAAGTAATAAAATCAACATTTCCAAAGACTGCTTCATGCTATCAATCCCTTACCATTTCACGAAACTAACAACCATTCTTCTGTCTCTCCCTCAGCCGACCTCCCAAACCGGTGCACCATTCGGCGGCTCCTCCCGGGACTGTTCACCGGAGCGCCAGCCGTCTCCGATGCGTCAACTATCGCCCGTTCGTCAGCCATCGCCCGTGCGCCAACCATCGCCCGTTCGTCAGCCATCGCCCGTGCGCGGCCGGCTAGTTCAGGAGCGAGCCGCTGTGTTCGACCGGCCCGCCTCTCCGCCGCCGCCCAACGTGGATCCGACCGAGATGACCCTCTCCGACCGACGCAAGCTGTTCGAGAAGGGACAGGCGCCCAAGGTGAGCGCTGGTAGTTGAGGACTGGTCGCAGAGAAAACAGAAAGAAGAGCTTTGATTGACTGTGCTAAAAACCGAAAACATGAGTAATTGGTAACTTCGTTGATCTGAGTGATCTTTTTGTAGCTCTTGTACTGTGCATTGTGGTGTAGGTATGTATGTATGACTCTGTTCGTTTTTTTCAAATTTCATTCAAATATTGCGTCATTCTACGCCGTTTCACCCATTGGTTTATCTATGCTCGGTGGTACACGTGCCACCCAGGCCGTTTACCCGTTCGCTAACCCATCCTCCGCCGTCAGGTGATCGCCCGGTTCGGCACGCCGGTCACCCCTCACATGCTGAGACAGCACGCGGCCACTGAGGGCGCCCCGCAGTCGGCACCCGCCGCCCGGTCCCGGCCGGCCCCGGAGCAGAGCCGGCCCCGACCGGCACTGGAGGAGACCCGCTCCAGGTCGCCGCTCAGGCAGACAGGTCAGTCAGAGGGATGTCTCGAGTCATGAGGAAGAAGAGTTGGGCTTGAAATGGGGACTTCTTCTAATTTCTATAATTAATTATCATCACTGCGGCGTTGTTTTTTTTTCCTGTTGGATACGACGCCAGTTATAACTCCACGTGTAACGTGTTTGTATTTTAATGAACGACAGCCCGCGCACACTTAGTGTACCGGATAGTCGATGAGCCTTGCGGTGTTGTCAATGACACCCTCTGTTTCCGTTAGCTGCCGTCTCACCCATCCACTACTAACCTCCTCCCCTCTCTTCCCGCAGCGCCGGCCGCCGCTCCGCCGTCGGGACCTCCCTCTCCGTCCCGCGCCGTCGGAGAGTCCACGTTCCAGGCACACCGCAAACTCTGGGAGTCGATGAACAACGACTGGCGTCAGAACGAGATCGCCCAGAGCAGCCGGCAACAGCGTGAGAAGGAGCTGGGCTTTCTGGCCAACAGGTGGCAGCACAAGCCGGCCGAGCTGGAGGAAGCTGCGGCTACCGCCAGACCGGTGAGGAGGGAGGGAGTGATAAATGAGAGGTTTTAGTGAGAATGAGAGGTTTTAGTGAGACTAAGAGACAGGAAGTGTCAAAGAGCTCTTGCTGCTGGGTGTATCCGATGCCTGGTGTCACTCATCCGGTGCTTATTATTAAGCATTGTTTTTACAATAACTCAGCTGCTAAATCTGAATTTAATTTGATCGAGTCTATTGCAAATAATTGTTCAGCTTGTTAATGATGTAAGTGTTCACTGTTGTGACGTCTTCCTCCCCAGATGGAAGAGATGGTCCCTCAGCCGCCGGCACCCCCGGCCGCTCCAGCCGGTGGTATTCCTCCGCCTCCCCCACCGCCGCCGGCCAGTCCTCCGGCCAGACGAGCTGCTGATGAGAACCGCGCCAGCCCCTCACACCACAGCCCGATGCGTCAGAGCCCCTCGCGCCAGAGTCCGTCCCGACATAGCCCGGCGCGCCGCGGCAGTGCGGCTCGTGTCAGCCCCTCCCGGCAGCCAGAGACGGCCACAGAGAGTCAGCATAGCTCCGGGGAGAGGTAGGTGGTAAAGATGCATGTGTGTGAAGTAGTGTAGTTATAGTGCTAGTGTAGTTCGTAGTGGGGAGGGAGGGGATCGGACGCGGTGTTATGTCCAGCCAATGTCGGGTATCATTGGCTGGATGATGAGTTGATTTTTTTGTGGTGGTTTTACTGCACCACCAATGATGCAGATTGTTGTACATATGGGATTTTGCCGTGGCTTTGCCGCGATGTATCTGATATGTTGATGTTTTGGGTTCTGGGCTGGTTGGGTGCATGCTTCAGATATCCACTGTACATATTACCCCCGTTGAGTTGTGTCGTCTCCCGCGTCGTGTAGCTGTGCTCTGTACTCTCGGTCACGCCGAGTACTGATGAACGGTGTAGCTGTTGTGATCGATCTTTTTCCTAGCCTAAAGTGTCCCGGCCTTTGACATCCAGCATTCGTCAGCATCGGTAGCTGACATTCTCACGAATCTTCGTAGGTGATCATCTTTCTTCTCGACCAATTACTATCGATGCTGGTAAAGTAGCTCTTCATAGCCCTCAACAGTGCCCTAGTTTCTGAAGAGCGCCAGTCCTGCTCCTGTCTTCAACATTACCAATGGCTGACAAACATCCTCGTTTCACCTTCATCGGTAGCTCGTCTATTTGCTCGAAGACCACGAGCTTGTATCGTAGATCGTATCCCCCCCAGATCGTAGCCTCTAAACCAGCTATCATCCACTGCGAAAATATCTACCTTTCATCCGAGATCACCATCAAACACCCTACATCGTTCCCACAACCTCCATGTAGTATCGTAATATTCATGTCAGCCGTAGTACCCATAGTACCCGTGTCAGCCGTAGCACCCGTAGTAGCCGTGACAGCCGTAGTATCGTAGCCGTAGCAGTCGTAGCACGCCCCGCCCCGTAGTCGGCTAGTTCGCCCGTTGTCCGCGGCGCTGAGGTGGCGCTGCTGTCGGCAGGCCGGAGCGCTCCCGCCGGCCTTTCCAGGTGCGTGTGAAGCCCGGCTGTCTGTACCCGAGTCTGTCCGATCTGGACACGGCCACCAGCTCCCAGACAGAGTCCGAGCCGGAGGACGGCCGCAGGTACGCCCCAGAGCACGGCCGGGCACGGCCCGAGCACGGCAGGGCCCGGTCCCAGCACGCCCCAGACTGGGCACGTCTTGTCCGGCTATATTCAGTTGCTTTCCGGGCTGCCGTCTGGCGTCTAGTTTGTCCGATGAACTAGTCGGCACCCGGCACCCGACTCACATGTCGCACACTCCACGGACGTTCCAACTCGTCTTTATGTCTTTGTGTGACGGGTTCTTGTGCGGTGTTTGGAGAGCCGTTGATGGCTGAGTTGCATGGTTGGTGTTGGTGTGGTGGTTGCAGCGGGGAGATACTCGCCATGTCTGCATGTTTGGCGTCCGACTTGACCGCCGTTGGCTCCATGAAGGGCTGCTTCGTCCGATTGGAGCCACTCGGCGTGAGCATTGCTGGATTGCTGCTGTTTCGGTGAAATTTGTACTCACGAGTTTATAAATGGTATTTCTGCTCTAAGTGCACTTCTGTTAGTTGCAAATTGATTTCAATCTTCTGATAGGTCGACTTATTTAGTTTATATTTTTGAATTTTCCGACCTTCAGGTAAGATAGTTCGTCCTTGTAATCAGTTGCTTTGCTGTTGTCTTGCTAGCTGCTATTGTCACCACTCTGCTTGCTTTTCGTCTGAGTCTGCACCCTCACCGCCTTTTATCTCACCGCTCACAGCTAGTCTGCTTTAGCCATAGGCTTTCTGCCGTGGTCCCGCCTCCCGCGCGGGTGCTTTGCTAACCTGCGCTTTGTGCTCTCCCGTCTGTTTTTAGCTTCTCTTGCTTCCGAGACGCTGCGCTCTGCCGGTCTCTCTCATCCGGCGAAGAACAGTGGACGGACGCTCGCGACTATTTCTCGCGCCAAACTCGCCGCGATCGAGACTGGGAGGAGTCGGCGATGACCTCCTCCGGCGACTGGGCTGACGCGCGTGACGCTTCTCGTGACTCGCGTGACAATTCCCGTGACGGCTGCGATCGCTGTGACGCTCGTGATCGCTCGGAGACGGGACACCGGTCGTGCGCGCGCCCCCACGCCCGCTCCTGTGGTCGATCTCGTCCTTTATCACGGTCTCCCTCGCCGCGACGACGCTGGGCGTGCGAACGGTCATCCTGTCGGTCGTCTCCGCCGCCCCACTGCTGTGGGGAAGATACGTCGTCGTGCTCTCAGTACGGCGACTGCTGCGGCGGACGGTCTTGCGCGCGGGAGGACTCGGGATGGGAATGTTACCATGGTTGTCACCGTTCACCGGCGCGGTCCCCGTCTCGCTCCTCCACGCGAGGGTGTTACGAGTCGCGCTGCCACCGCCGTCACTGCTGTTCCGGCGGCTCCCCGCCCCCTCCTGCCTGTAGTAGCAGTAATCCTGACCGGTCCGCGACCTCACGGCGTGCCCCTCAGTCCCGCACTAACTCAAACTCTGGGTCTAAGTCCGTCTCGGACTCCGAAGGTGAGTACGACTCACTGGTGGCCAGCTGCCAGCGGGCTCTGGCCGAGCGACTCTCTGGCTCTTTCCCCTCACTGGAACTACCGTCACGGGAGCCATCTGACGAGCCCGCGGCTGCCTCCACTCGGCTAGTGACACCCTCCGTCACGCCGCCCGATGACGTCACTCAGGATGACGTCACGCCCGTTACTGTCGAGGCTGAGCCGTCAGCGCCGCCGCTGACGCCACGTAAACAGGTGACGTTTTGTGAGGAGTCCAACTCCACGGACGATGAGGGGTGCGGCGCTGAGCTGCCGCCTCCTCCACGCGCCCCGCGCTGGCCCTTGCGCGCCGCTCCGCCGCCTCCCGCACTCTCCCCTCCTCCTCCCTCTCTCCCGCCTCCCCCGCCACCGCCGCGGTGTCTATCTCTAACAGCAGCAATCAGTCGAGATACCTCGTACGCGACCGCGCGCACTGCCTGGAGCGACACAGACTCTGAGCTCCTCTCGGCCGCCGAGGGAGTCTCATCAGACGAGCTGAGCGTAACTCTGCTCTCCGCCGTCGATCGCGCCGAGTCAGACTCCGATCCCTCCACCTCCGCGGGGGTGGGTCGCCGCGCCGTGTCCACCGCGCTGCGCGCGCACGGCCACGTGGTCCGTCGCGCGCTGTCGGCGCTGTCGGCGGGCGCGGCGCGCCGCGGCGGCGGCGTCCAGCTGCGGCTGACGACGGCCTGCTCGCTGGTCCGCAGTGGCTCCTCCCCCGGCAGCACAGTCTACCGCGGCGGATCGACGGCCGCAGACGAGTCGACCATTTCGTACGCCAGCGGACACAGTGATGCAGAGAGCCTGGGAGCTGAGATCCTGGCGATGGCGCGCGCCAACCAGCCGCCGCCCAGCCTGCCCACCATCGACGAGAGCACGGCGGTGAGTAGCGAACGACGGGGGGAGGATGGAAGGAGAGAATACCAGGATGAGGGGAGGGATGTATGCGGAGAGGATGGCCCTTCAGGGAGCGAGTGGGCTGATGACCGAGCTGTTGTTGTTGTTGTTCGCGAGTTCTCATGGGCTTAAAGAGAGCACTTTTGGAGTGTGAAGCGTTTAAAGGGAGAGATGCTTGAAGGGCTTTCGTATTTTCAAATGAGATTTGTAAGTTTTTATCTACTTGTTACAGTCAGCATACCGTCTCTATTAGTGTATCAGATAAATTGTTGATTCGTCCCACTCTATCAGCCCTTCCTAACTCGTCCCATACTACTTCGCCAGGACTCGAGCAGTGACATGTCCGGAATGGCCGCCTGCGCCGCCATCGACGACGTCCTCGACGATATGGACAACGACGACGAAGAGCCAACTCCGCCGAAACGCACACGGAAAACGGTGGGTTCTCAACCAGCGCTTGTAGCTAGAAAACGGTGGATGGAGACGTTTTTATAGAGACGTCAAGCGAGGTATATATCGTTGGGAAAGACGAGTGTGCATCCTATCCAATACTAATGAACATCGTACGAGCTGTCGACCAGCATCCCTACCCTTATAAAAGAAGTTTTATGACGTCCATTATCTTATATCCGGCTGATTTGATTCGTGTTCATTGTTGAGGGATATGACCTTTCCAATCGCATTTCCACTTCTCATCTGTTTTGCCAGCTTAATTTACCATAGCGGTCCCAGGATTTTGGTGTGTCGCTTGTTCCTCTCATCCCCTACCCAAAATTTGTATCTCATTTCGTTCCAACTGTCCCTCGGCAGATCCTGCGACGGTGTTTGTCCCAACCCTCTGCATCCACCGACTCCACCGTCTCTACCGCCGCTTCTACTGCCTCTACCACCGCCTCTACCGCCTCTACCGCGTCTACCGCCGCCTCTACCGTCTCTACCGCCGCGTCTACCGCCTCCGACACCACCCTATCCACCACCTGCGACTCTACATTCGCCTCCGCGCACTCTACCTCCGCCTCTACTCTCTCCACCGCGGTACATCCAACCTCCGACAGCCGAACTGCGTCTGTGTCTCCGAGTGTCGCCCAGCTAATAGAACGATTCCAACGTCCACCACCGGGCCCATCCGGCCCTCCTCAGCACCGCCGCTCGGCTCCGTGTCTGGTCACGCGCCGACCGCCCGCGCACACCCCTGCCTCCCGACCGGCGACTGTGCGTACCTCGACACCTCGCCGCTCGAGGTCGGCCGTGTCGGTGCCTTCTGCCAATGTGACGGCTGTCCTACCGGCCGGGGGAGACTGGGGATTGGGGGAGGGGGATGAGGGAAGTACGGAAACGTTAACCGAAGAAGGATTCGCTGAAGCTGCGTCGAGGAAGTTTAGGTTGGAGATTGATTCGGGGAGTGTGGAGTCGACGCAATCCAGTCAAGTTGCAAGCTCGAATGGTGCCACACAGGGCAGTCACGATCAGGACCTCGCCCCGACTCCCAGCAAGTCTAACAGAACGTTTGACCTCAGCTCCCCTGCACCTCTGACCTCTGACCTGGGAGCGGTTAGCTGGTCGGGTCGCTCCCCTCGCTGCTGGGAAGAGGAACATGAGATCGAGGCTTCAAACAGAGGAGCGCCCGGTGCGTCTCTCTCCAGACTGAGACAGTATCTGTTCGCTGCTACAGCGGGAGAGATGGTGCCGAGGCAATGTTTGGATCCCACAGACACGGAGTCGTACACTCAGAGTGAGGGTGTTGAGTTGGAGAGCGGAGACACCACTGCGGAGTCGGATCTGTCATACAACCGGAGTAAGCACGTCGCTACGATGGAGAAATTCCTTACTCCTGTGGGTAAAGTGCGTGATCTTGCATCAAAACTCGAGAAGAAATCCTCCAAGTTCACCACCAGCTCGTCTGACGTGCCCCCGTCTGCGTTGACCGGCTCTGAGTCAGAGAGCGGAGAGGGAGCCTTGGAGAGCTCCTGGGCGGGTCCGTCGGTCGGTGCGGGAGATGTGACTGTGTCGGATATAGTGTCCCAGCTGGAGGCGGTGTGTCTGAGACAGGGCGGCGGAGACGGGGAGGCCGCGGCGGACCGGGAGACTCCTTACCCTCCTGGGGATTCCTCGGACCGTATCTTGCCGACCGGAGGTCTCAAAAAGGTCAGTCGGCGGTGGCCGGCGGTAAGTGATCCTTTCTATCTTATCGTCCCGTACTTTAATTACAGATGTCATATCAAAATATTTTCCGGTTCCAACAATTAATGTCCTTGTCCATCATTATCATTAATACCTTGAATAATGAATTATTTACCTCATCTCTCCCTCAGTCTGCCTTGCTGTATAAGTTCGTTTGGGTCCATGATTCAGGATGTGTCAAGTTGCTGTCCATTAAAATACATTATAGTTTTTTGATAATCTGTATCATTGCTTAACACCTCGCGTTATCCAGGACCAATCGCAATCCACTACCTATTTCATCAATCGCACATCTTCCAACCGACCACCTAGTCACCCCTCCGGACTACTCTCTAACCGTCTCCCTCCCGTCCCACAGCGTCAGAACTCGGGCGTGTTCCGCACCCCGATGGCGTGCGTCCAGTCGCCGGAGCAGGACCCCCGGCTGCCGTCCGTGCTGCTGGACGGAGACGGCGCCGAGGTGCCCCTGATGCACTCGGTCAGCTTCTACCGCAGACAGAAACCACAGGTGAGTCACAGAGGCGCCAGAGCCATTCTTTCGGGTGACGGGACTCGTCTTAGCGTAGTCAGTACTTTGTGCTTTGTAGTGAATTAAACTCATTATTCCACGTAATATATGCTTATTTTTGTTACTTATATGTTTAAATATGGTTTAGAACATTAATCCCGAGCTTACCGATGAAATATTACAGCAAAGGCGTAAGCTAAATACGTTCCCTAACGGCAGTGTTCGTCTCTGTCTCGCCGAATATGCTCATGCATATGTTTGTTTGTTGCAACTGGCCTCAGAGTTATGACCTGTGCGACTCCAACTGTTTGTTCAACCCCTACTCTCCGTCTCACACTCCCCGCCGTTTCTCCCCGTCCAGGAAGTACAGGTGATTCTAGTTCATTAGGAACAGGGAGGTACCGCCCGATCTGACCTCCCCTCTCTCCCCTATTCAGGAGGTGCAAGTGACTCCGGTCCGTCAGATCGTAAGGAACAGGGAGGTGCCGTCCCGCGGTGATGAGACGCCCTCCACCAGCCAGCAGCAGATGGGAGCCAGCACGCAGGAGCGAATCAAACACCTGCAGAAAGAGGTGGGTACGACGGTGTGGAGGCGAGGGGATGTTGGGGTATGGCAGGTGAGGGGGTGTTACTTTCTTAGCAGCACTGAGTGAAAGTACTTGCTGGTAGTGTGAACTAAACTCGTTCCCTTCTCAATATTATATCTCTAACTTAATCTGTTTGGTTTCTTGCTCGATACCAGATACAAAAACTGCACCAGCCACACTAATCGAACTCTGACAGTGACTCCTGCTCCTACTACCTGCTTGACCTCTGAACAGAATCTTCAGATTGACGTATCCTCCGGGAAACCCTGACATGTATCCCTCCGTTCCCGTGTTACAGGCCACGCAGCAGATGACGGTGATGTCCCAGGCGAGTCGGGCGCTGAACCTCTGTAACTCCACCATAGAGTTCACCGGATCGGCAGAAATGGTGGAGGCCGAGCGGCTCCTGCTCGTCGCCAGTGAGTACACGAGGTCGTCTTGAACCCACAAAGCTTAAAATACCCAACACACTAGTTTACAGGCCGCTTGCGGTAATTGACCTCATTGAACTTGTCTTTATGTTAACAGAATCCCGACCATTTCACGCAAGTACTGACCAGAAATTCAAAAGTGTATACGGTGCACGCATTGTGCTTCGTCGAGTGAAGTGCGTAACACCACATCTCGTGTTTTGAGTCTGACAGCGTCGAACAAACAGACAAACTGACTGATCTGACTGCAAGCTGTTTGTTGAACAATAAACAGCCACGTCTTTCCGATCCGGTAACGCGACCCCTGTGTTTCAGCACACCGCCGGCAGGCGGCTCTGTCGGAGATCCAGCGGCTGAAGACGGAGGGCGCCATGCGCCAGCAGGGGATCATCCGCCCGGCGTCGCGCGGTACACTGAGCGTCAGTTCCGTCACCCTGCCGCTCAAGACCTCCTTCGTTAGAGAGGTGGCCGCCGGATCCGGTGAGAGCGAGGGGAGGGGGTAGAGGGAGGGCCATTGGCTGATACAAAGAGTGTTTGATTATGGGATTCTGGTTTTGTGATATAAATGTTCTGCAATTTCGTGTTGATAGATGACAGTTGTCTTAACACTAGCGTAAACCATAAACCATAGCCATAACCATAAACCATAAACATTCTAATTCTTTACAAAAATGCCTGTCAGTGTTGTGCAGTTACCTAAATGAAGTCACCTCTGCATAACGTGTTGTCCAGGACCATGCGCTTGGGCTGTGTGACGTGTGTCTTGCTTTCGCCGCCCACCCTGACAGCCTCGCCATCCCGTCTTCACAGCCAACTACGTGTACTACTTCGTGGTGCTGCTGCGTTACCGCGGACAGGTGATCGCCACGCAGATGCTATCATCTGAGGACTCCATCAAGGGTGAGTACCGTCTCACTTAGCTCTCAGAGCTAGAGTTCTCTCAAGAGTCCTCTCAGAAGTCGCTTAGGGTTCTCAGAGCCGTCATAGTTGACGTTAAAAAAAAAAATGTTCGCGACGTCACGGCTTTGGATTTGTTGTAATTTGTTCAGTTGATGTATTGCGCTTGTGGCAATGCGGTGATGCGATAGCTGGTATTTCAATGTTGGTTCTATGGTGGCTAGCCCTGTTGTAAAGCCAGCGCCCTCTTTCACAGGAAGCGCCATCAACTTCCCGAACCTGGTCAGTTTCCGCGAGCTGGAGGCCGAGTTCGGCGTGGCGCTGGAGGTGTACGGCCTGCAGACCCAGCGCGAGGTGCTGCCCCACGACGCCAAATACCACATCCGCAAGGCACGTACCGAACGGCAACAGCGGCGGCGGCCCGGCCACTGGCGACACTGGCGCCGCCTGCTGAGCGCGCCGCGAACCTGGGCTTGGCACGGCCGCCGGCAGGCGGCGCTAGTGTGCGCCTGCCTGTGTGTCAGCTGTACGGTAACCACGCCGTACGAGGAGGTTTGTGAGCCGGGTGGGAGGGATGCATGAAGGAGAGAGGGGAGGAGGCGGGGCAGAGCGGCGGAGCGGCCGCTGTGGAGGTGTAGCGACCTGTATTCGTCTGTGTCGGCGGGGGACCCGGCGGGCCAGGGGTGTAGTGAAACCCCTGAGAGGCGGGAGCCTGCCCTCGGCGGCCGGCTCTCCTGCCCTGTGATGTCCAGAAGTACTGCAGATGGGTGTAGCTACCTGTCTGTCCCGGCACGGCTCGATCCTCTACAGCGGTGACTGGTGAGTGGAGAACGCTGCCGTCTCAGTGTGGAGAACAGCTCGGATTCTGCGCAGCTGCGCGGTCTGGGCTTCTGTCCCACCTGGCCAGGGCTCAGCTCATGACTTCCAAAGACCTTTCCTGTATCCTATTCCTTGCGCCTGACTGAAGGCACTAATATGACTGATATCCTGGTCCTGGGTCCAAATTATAACTACCATGACGCACATGAAGTGTGTGATTAAACAACAAAGAAAAGTCGTTGGTGTGACAGTCTCCTACATTTAGTACTTGCATGATAGACCATTGCATGCGCTGATCGTTTCTCTGGCAAGTCGTCTGATATAGAAAAGCTGAAAATGAAAAGTGTTTTATGTCATCGGCCCATAGTGACGCATGAACTATTGGTATCGCACGAGGGCCTTCCCTGTCTGTTTTTTCTTTTTGTTAGAGCGTACTCTTTTACTTTATTTTTATTCGATATTTTAAGGGGTTTGAGACATCGCACGCTGCAGAACATGGTGTTCATTTTAGCTGAACTATTTTACATTCCACGTTTGTTTTTGTCTTAGCTTTAGTTTTGGTTATACAATTATATGCATGCAGCTTAACTAGTCTCTAGTTTACTATCGATGCATTGAACTGTTAAAGTAATTTGGTGGTGTAGTTTAGCCTAGTGCACGCTACCGTCGGTTTGAGTCTTTTTGTCATTCTGTTATCGTGCACTGAAGTCTCCTAGCCAGCAGTTCTTGCAGTTCTTATTTCGAATTTTGGTAGTTGTTTCTGTCTGAATAATTCTTCGTATTATTTTTATATCGTATAGTTCTTTAGATCACTTATTAGACTGTTTCGAGTATCTTATTTGGTACTTTTCCACACTTCCCTCAGAGGCTCTCCCTTCACCCCCAGACTCCAGGACGTCATTCAATTACATTTCCAGTTTCTACAGTCTCATGTCCCACCTTTTTTCAACCCACCGCCGAACAAAGACATGCGGTTACCTAGCTCCTTCGCCTCTCCCCAGCCCTAGCCGATTTCCCCTGCACACAGGAACGATCGAAGACAACCTCACTCTCTCACCAGTCCAAAGTCGTATTTCCCCTTACTTCTCCCCATCCCACACAGGAACGGACGAAGACAGTTTCCTCGCTCTAGTCTGTCCTGCAGTCTAAGCTCTTACTTACTCCTCCCACCACACACAGGACCGGAAGCCATGGTTGTTTAGCGCCCGCTTTCCTCAGCCCTAACTTACTCCCTCCCACACTCACAGGACCGGACGAAGACGCCGAAGAAGCTGCTGAAGCAGCAGTCGTCTCTGACCTCGCCGGCCATCCAGTCGCCGGCCGGGCCGGGGGCCGTGCGGGCCACCTGTTTCCAGCTGATGGGCTTTGTTTACCTGACGGCACGCAACCTGACCAACACCTCCTGGGCGCTGGAAAAGGTGAGGACGATGCTGTGCAACCCTGCAACCCAGCAACCCGCGTTAGGGGTAGTGGTGGTCAGCGAGTTTTTTTAGAGAGGTTGGCTGGCGGCTGATCTGGAATGTTCCTGTGCTGGAAATGATGTGACGTAGAACTTGGATGGATAATATAGATTTCGCTGTTTCCATTAGGGTCTATAATTACGTCTAAGATAGACGTGATCTTACCATTCATGTCTTGCCGTCAATATTTTCCCAGCGTTTACCGCAAACCCGACATGCTACGTCTTTGCTCCCTCTTCAGGTGCCCACTCAGAGTCCCCTGGACGGCGATGTCCTGATGACCCTTCCCCTCCCCTCAGGTACCCACTCAGAGTCCCCTGGACGGCGATGTCCTGATGACCCTTCCCCTCCCCTCAGGTACCCACCCAGAGTCCCCTGGACGGCGGTGTTCTGATGACCCCTCCCCTCCCCTCAGGTACCCACCCAGAGTCCCCTGGACGGCGGTGTTCTGATGACCCCTCCCCTCCCCTCAGGTACCTACTCAGAGTCCCCTGGACGGCGGTGTCCTGATGATTCCTCCCCTCCCCTCAGGTGCCCACTCAGAGCCCCCTTGACGGCGGTGTCCTGATAACCCCTCCCCTCCCCTCAGGTGCCCACCCAGAGCCCCCTGGACGGCGGTGTCCTGATGACGGTCACCTGTCACGCCGATTGCGCCGTCGAGGAGCGCGGCTTCATCACCGTCTTTGACGACGTCTCTGGGTTCGGCGCCTGGCACCGGCGCTGGGCGGCCCTCTCCTCTGGCCGGCTCTCCTTCTGGCGCTACCCGGAGGACGAGACCCGCGCTCCGCCGACTGCGGAGGTGGACCTGCGCCGCTGTGTGACCGAGAGGGTCGGTCCGGTGCCGCGCGATATCTGCGCGCGGCAGAACACGCTGCTGCTGGTGACGGTGCGCCAGGCGCGGCCCGAGGACCAGGACTCGCTGGTGATGCAGCGCAGAGGAAACATGACGCGCGTCAGGTGAGCGCTAAGGGAGGAGGGAAAAGAGGATGGGAGAGGGAGGGAAGGGAAAGTGGGTCAGGATCGGTGGTAGGGCGTGAGTTGTGTCATGGTGTTATGGTGTGTAGAGGGTGCTTGTAAAATCGCTGGTGGTCGAGTCAGCATATTTTGCTTTGATTTGGGAGGTGAATTACGAGATTCGCCCAGTCCCACACGACTGATTTACCGGGGGCATTTTCAAGGATTTTAAGCGCCAACATATTTGGTGGCTTGCTAATAGCACCCTGACAAGCAGCTAACATGTGTCTTAAAGTTTTTCAGTGCCCTGGCCCCTTCACAACCCCAAACTGACCCATCTTTCTTCTTACAGGCACCTTCTGTCTCTGGACGGCCGGGACGAGCGTGAACTGTGGGCCGACAAGCTGAACGAGACGCTGGCCAACATCCGGGCCTGGGATCCGGATGCCATGCAGCCCCACCTGGACCCGTCGGCCTGAGGGGTATGCTCGGCAGAGGGTTATTTAGCGTGGAGGGGTGTTAGGCACGCCATGTAACCCCATCTCTCGGCCTGAGGTGTCTGCTTGGCAGACTAGGGTCTGTTAGCGTGGGATAGCGTCGGCATAGAAGCCGCCGGTGCGCAAGAGTGGAGGACAATATGAACCAGGGACCACATTTAGCCCTTCATCGCAAGGTATCGTCGCTTGAAGCCTCCGGACTCCCCGAGACTAGCTGGTGGCCGACGAGTAGGTGTTGTGCACGCCTTCTTAGATCACTGGAGCGGACGCGAGCTGTGTACCGCGCGGGACCATTTCATTAACACTAGGTGTCACCATCCATTGTTTAACCAAACGTATCTGTGTCTTCCCACGGGCTTGTGGGGTTGATAGGGTCACTCAGTGCATAGGGCTATGCTTGTCGTGGCTAGACTCGTTTTCTTGTGAGTATAAGAGGCGTCACGGTGTTCGCTGCATTGCCACACTGTGAAACGCGATGGCCTGCGATCGACTTTGGCCGACCTAACGTCGGGAATGAGCGAATGATGCGATACTTGTTTAACCACGGGAAATTTCTAGTAAGTTCTAGCGCGGTCGCGATGCATTTGCTGCGCCGATGTTGAGTAAATAAGCGTAATCGCGAGTGCTTTACGTGGGTTTTGGGGCTGCTTGAGCATGCTTCTCTGACTTGGTAGATGTTTAGAAATTGTAGCCTAAATGTAACTGTGTATAATTGATGTTAGCTTTTCGTGCCTTTTTAGGATATTAGTTGGGACTATTTGCGATAGTTGCCGTGAGATTATTCAATGTGTACGCTGATTTTCATCTTATCTCACTCTTCCCGGTCTGCGATGCTGTGTAAATAGTAAATACATCATTAATCACTCTTTTTTTGCGACCATGATGAGACTTGACGACTATGATAAACTAACGACTTCTTTATCCAGATTATTCTACTCGTCTATCACATACTCGACTTCAGAGTCAAACTGTTGCGTAGAAGATGGCTGAAACACCAGCCTAGCGACTCAATGGTAACATCGCAATTCGTAAACTGAACTGAAACTTATAACTGAAACAACTGAACATAAAAGTTTAAATTGGAAACATCTTCCGCTGATGGCCATTTAGGGCATAAGCGAAGATGCTACTTCTCTTCTATCATCAGCACCGCGATCGTTTTGTATCTGCTGTGAATAATGTCTTAAATAATCGCCTCAGCATTTTATGCTGAGTGGTGACAATGTTTCGTTGTTACACAAGTGACAGGCACATCACACGGTTGTGGGGAGAACAGAGAATGGATTACAAGGTGCCAGGGTCTGAACAACATGTAGCCGGCCTTCGACACGAGAGGGTCCGGTGAGCTCGTTTAAAGTTCATGAGTCGTGGGTTACCAACTACCAACGTAGTGTGTGGGCGGACGACATAATGAATTCTATTGGCTAGTGGAACAAGCATTTGTGATCCATTTGTTATGCTATGCCACATCGTCTCAACGATGTCGGATTTTATTTGTGAGACATGTAAAAGACATACTGAATAGTTATTCAAGCTATGATCGCATAAGCGCACGACGGTAAAAAAAAATATCGGATAGTACACAGTTATCATCAGCGTTGCGGGGCGCTGAGTGCAATGCGGTACAGTATCAATCAGGCGCACGATAGAATAGACATCTAGCGAGCAGTCGAGGAACTAAGAAGTGTTGCGGCGCAGCATGCCACAGGCGCACGATAAGAGAGACATCTAGCGGGCAGATCTGAAACACACATGCAATGCGGCACAGCATGTCACAGGCGTAAGATAAAAGAGACGTCTAGCGGGCATATTTTAAGTTTATGTGCCATGCGGCACAGCATGTCACAGGCGGAAGTTTACAGGGACATCTAGCGGGGGAGGTAAAAGCTTATGTGTGATGCGGTACAGTAATAGACAGGCGCATGATGGCGAGACATCTAGTGAGCGAGATTGAAGCTTACGTGTATGGCGGTACAGCATGGAAAAGAGAAGCTTTGGTATACCAGGGACATTGGAGAAATATGTAAGGGAGAAACGTGCGGGCTATGCTTTCATTAGATTAGACATTACTGCGCGCGGAACGGCGAAGGACAGAAGGCAAATATATTACGAATTTAGAATGAATCAAGCAGTATGAAACAAAATTGGAGCCAATCGCAGGGCCCAAGAGTTAGGTGCAACATTAATGAATTGATCGACCGAGTCCCAGCGACAACACATGACTCCAGCCATTGTTGCCTTATTCAGACAGATGAACGGTAAGCTCATGTGTTGCGTGATACCACATAGAACAAACGGATGGTGACAGTGCGGATCATTTTGTGAATGGAGACAGCCCATGACTTACGAGCCACAACATGAAAGAGGCTACCAATTGAAATACAAGTTACGTCATTAAAAATGCCAGCATAAAGGAGCCATCAGTCATGCGTACCACGCGCTTTGAAATATGTAACGCCACACCCTACGGCATAGATTTCCCTTCATTGAAGTTCCAGCGTCGCCGTTTTCGCGCCACACCTGGTGTTCGCCCCGGAACCTGGCGCCATCCCGTCCCCGGTCCCCTGTCGCCGCCGTCGGCGAGCTAGTTCGCCACTCGTCCGCGGGCGGCGCTGCGGTCGGCGGCGGCGCTGGAGGTGGGTCGATAAGCCGATATCGGCGCCGGCGGTGGTGGCGGCAGTCGATGGCGGGTCGGGTGTCGGCACTGGCCGGGGCACGGAGCGGGCCGCCCGGCGGCTATGGAGGGCGGCCCGCGCGGCCGGCGCGCCGCCAGCACCGCTCTGCTGGCGGCCCTCGTCACCACACTGCTGGCAGGAACACCGTCAGCCTCCGCCGAGCCCAGCCAGGAATGTGAGTACCGAGCGCCCCGGTTAGAGGCGGGACGGGGACACCCGGAGACAGCCAACGGCAGCCGCACCGACCGCCGGCTGGGCGCGGAACTGTCGGCTGGCTCTCTTATGGCTAGCGAGTGTGTAAGGCGGTTCCTGGAACTTGTTTTTGGGGTATGGAAGGCATCGAGCTGTTTTCGACACTCTGTCTGTAGGTATAGCTTAGTGTTAGATATGTTCCGCTCTTGTGGTGACTGTAGTGAGCTTTAGGTATCTGGACTTTGCTTGTGTCAAAGCAGATTCATTACGCTGACAATGCTGTTCTCAAATGCCTTTCAAACTTTCCATCGCTCGGAGTTTGCACTGTCTTCGGTGTCGTGTCTCCGATGTGATACCCATTTGTCACCCGCGCATGCAACTTGTAAGTTCGCATTCGCTGACTCATCGAAGTAGCCAACTTCGTCACGATGGCTCCAGGAGCCAATCTGCCTATCTCTTGACAAGCACTTTCTCTGGGCGCGCTGCAGGTGATCTGTGTCCTTGATAGTGTCATACAAACTTTGTACAGCATTTGTACAGCGAAGCATGCATCAGAGTTATGGCACCAGCTTCCCAATCGACGCTTCAAGCTGTTGTTCAACCTTTGGGGTCCTCTCTTCTACTATAAAATCCATCTCTGTCCACAAATAGCCCCTGTCTCCTCACCACATGAGTCAGGGAGTGTGTTATGCCTCTTGTTTTTAACATCAGTCAGGACTAGCAGCGGCGGCCCCCGACTTGAAGGTCTTATCCTCATTTATGCAGGGAATGAAGAGCTGTAAAAGCAAATACTGGTTTACCAGTAAATGTGTTAGCCCAGTGGTCTGTAGATGTGCGCCGAGACTGCGATTTCAGATTGACATCACGTGAACCTTGGCCCCGTCATGATCAAAAGCCGGTATTTTCACGATGAAACTCATGACAGTGCCATGATCGAGCCCATAATACTGCGATGATGGAACCTCAGCCAGGTCATGATGAAACCGATGGCCAGGACTGTCCTAGGACTTCCCTGGCTGAATGACTATGACAGCACCTTGTGTGTTATCGGAACTGGTTGTGAGGTATTGTGAGAATGAGAGAACGTGAGAAAGAGAGAGAGAGAGAGAGAGAGAGAGAGAGAGAGAGAGAGAGAGAGAGAGAGAGAGAGAGGGAGGGAGGGAGGGAGGGAGGGAGGGAGGGAGGGAGGGAGGGAGGGAGGGACGTGAATAAATGTGGGAGTCAATGAGTGGGATGCCAAATCCATGGGCATGACACTGCCAAACCCTCCGGACGTTCAACGTTGTCGGCTTTACGATTGGTGGCGGGGCGTAGGAGTTTGATAAGTGAGATGCGGGCTGCTCTCCGCTCTATCAGGCCTAAAGGTTACTCCGGAGGATATTGGGGGATGTGGCCGATTGCAATGCTGGCGAACCAATCTACAAATACGTCCATTTGGCGGATAAGGCCCATTGGCAAATGCTGACTGACATGACGCATGCTGTGGGTGAACCAATCTACAAGTAGACAATACTTTCCGAGCATCATGGCATCCCATCGCGTTTCATGATCCATCGCTAGCCGGATGACTCCTTTGTCAGCAGTTTTGTGGATGGTATTCGGTCAGTGCGAGAGCAGACTACACTTCTGTATCTGTATCGCTGTTGGTAGCTTCCTTCTTCCACTGGCTGCTCTCCCATCCTATTGACTGGCATGCCTCTCAAGTTCGTCTTTAATCAGTTGCTTCAATGATACGGCCCCTCTCCCCTCTCCCTCTCTCTCCTCTCTCTCTTTTTCTCTCTCTTCCTCTCTTCCTCTTCCACTCTTCCTCTTTCACTCCCCCTCTCTCTCTCTCCATCGCGACCTGGACCCGCCGACCCCAATTCGATCACCGCTCTCTCACTACCGCTGAAGAGCTTCGGCTTGCCTCGCCTCACCGGAGGCGTCGTCTGCGCCGCTCTCGAACGTTCGAGCGGTCGTCGCGCCCGACCAGACCCAATATTGAGTCCGTCCGACTGCTAGCTCGTACCATCCGTCTGCTGGCCCGTCTGCCGGTCGGTGCCGGCGCCTGGTTCTTTGAGGGCTGCCCGGCGTTACAGGTCAGTGCGGAACCTGATTAGATGTCCGCCATATCAAGATCGAGCGACGCTGAAGACGTTTAGCAGATGACAGAGCGCAGGTTAACCGCGGACGATGGCCTCAGGGCAAAAGGTCAATCCCGGAGTGAAATGTCATCCGCACCTGTCAGCGACCGACATGTTCAGCTCAGTGCGATTGTTGAACGGTTCGGATATAAAAGGTGACCGGTGACTTATCACGAAGGAAAATATACTATACATACACAAGACTATGTTTATAATGAGTTATCAAGCTGGTAATTGCTCCAAGGGCCATGATCATGACCAAGACCAAGCGCCATGATATTTAAATGGAGCATTTAATATAAGTTGCATTTATCACTGCAGAACGCTGACACAGAGGAATCATTCTCCAACCTTTTCTGATCGATGCCTGATAATTCGTTGGTATCGATCTTCAAAACGAGGTTGTGTAACTCAGCATGTTGCTGTTAGCTCTGAAACACTTATTCCACTTCACAAATCGCTTCTTAACCCTCGCATGTGTAGGGGGGGGGGGGGTCGGATGGACCCCCCCCCATGGTTTTTCGCGAATAACTCGCGTAAAAAGCGGCCGATCGCGACGAAACTTTCAGTACCCTCGCATTGATCAATTTGACACCTACCCTGAAAATTTCATGACCCTGACCCAAATGACCTTTGACCTGTGACCTCTTTTCCGAGACCATGTTTGGCCGGAATCGCGATTTCGCGTATGTCGGCTCGCACTAGCCGCGTGTTTGCAAGCTTTTCGTGGTTTCAAACGTTCAAACATGTGATTTGATGTTACTCCCGTCTGTGTCAAGGTCACCTGAGGGTCAGGTCAGGTCATTGACCTTTGGTGACCTCGGGTGACCTCGGGTCACTTTTTCGAGTTTTACATGTTTCTAGGCTAGTTTTTGGAGCTGAATTCGAATTTAGCAACCATTTGAACATTTACGAAGTAGTTTTGGTGACTTCGTAACATGTTACGAAGCTGTCAGAGGCGGTTGACACGTACTACGAATACCCGTCACGACGCCTACTGGTTGACCTGACCTGACCTGACCCGACCTGGTCTAAATGCTTCAAGACATCATCTGTGATCAAAACTAACACGATATTCGTGATCAGCACCCCGAAAAATCCCTTAGCACCCACACTTTACGACTTTCTAACAGGTCCCGATTTTCCCGACTTTGGGTCATTGACCTGACCTGGAAGGTCAACCAATGACCTAGGACCTTAAAATTGGGTATCATCGGCTTCCTCTCGTCACGGGCAACACGCTCGTTTTTTCCGCGAAGCTCTAGCTCGATCAGGGGCGAAACGGCAAGGGGGGGTCCAACCGACCCCCCCCCCTACACATTAGAAGCTGGCAAACGCCGCACACATGCGAGGGTTAACTTGTAGCAAGCGGTACTTGAACGGGAAACTGTCGCCTGAGTCATCCACTGGCTGAAACCGAGTACTCGCGGCTCATAAACGTAGTTCCCACTCGTAAGACTCGGTTGCATGGGGCTAAGATTAACGTCAGCTTCAGTTGACGCTCCCAGACAGCAAGGAACACACGAGTCGTTTCTTTGTATTCCATTCCGTGCCTGCGCTCAATTGAAGGCAGCCACGGTAGACACTATCGACGCTCGATTTCGGCGGCGATTCCAGCCTGTGTCTGGTGTCTGGAGCGACTTAACTCGGTTGGCCGCACACCGTTCGACATCAAATGGCCATAAAACGCCGTAGAGGTGCCTTGCAGACGGCACGTGCAGGCCAGGGCCTGGGGGCCAACAGGTCAAACCGAACTGAAGAGAGATCGCCGGAGGACAAGGAGATATTCTTTGAGAAACTTTTGAAATATCGAGCTCTGCGGTTTTCAGCATGACTTGGGAAGTTATCCGTGTTGAGGAAAGAACTTTCAAATGAAATTAATATTATGAAAGCAAATGCTGTTACGTAACAATGGTATTAGACAGGCTCTGAATACTTACATAATCCGTCACTAAGACTGTCAACCATATTTCTGTGCCATGAATCAAAGCGTTAACCAATTCCGCTGTCGCGCCCCTCTCGGGCCTGTGAATTCTGTGTCGGCGTCGCCTGTCGCGATCAATAGTGGGTAATGGCCTTGTGAGTCATGTCGGGAGCTGGATGGTGCGACCGGTAGTGGTGCGTCCGACAGACGCCAGGGGGAGGGGTGCACGTTGGGGGGGGGGGGGGTGCAACGCTCGAGTTCAAAACGAGCGCCGGGTGGATGCTACATGTGTGTTGAGTTGAGGGTATGGGCATTGAATATGAAGGGAGTAACTGTGTCGGGTGTGGATTGGAACACCTCAACTAATATTTATGTTTCATTTTCTTAAAAAAAAAGTAAGCCGATCTCGCGCAAGTAAACACGGAACTAAACGGAGCGAGACAGGAAGCTTCAACATGGGCGGACCACAAAGTGCACGGAATGCGCTGACAACTGTTTTTTGTTCTTACCACGCATTGATACTGCAAAGAATACTGGTTTACGAACCAATCTATCAGCAACAGCAACAAGCCCTGTCCGCTTTGTCCCATGTTGTCAACAGGGCCGTACCTTCCAAGAAGCAGCCCTCGTCCAGTGTGGGTCACTCAAGTGCAGGGTGCTGTGTTGCGCCGCGGGAGACGGCTTTGAACAGAAACCAACCATAAACAGGAGACTGTCGGGCTTCCGCGAACGGCCTAGGGTGTGTGTGAAACTAACAGAGGCAGCTGAAATGAAGGGCTGTCGGTTAGTGAATGAGCCGATAATCGATTTGGTCAATAAATCTACCTCGAATGACGGTTAAGCATTTACATACAGGGGAGATCCAGATCCTGAACACAATAGCAAGAAATAATTGATGAAGCCGTGATTGGTAATGTTTCACCCGAGATGTTTATA